AGGGGCAGCGCGCAGCGCTGCCTGCTGCACCTCTGCCTAGGAGCAGCCAGGACACAGCCTCGCTTGCGGGGAGCTGCCTGAGGTGAGCGGTCCACGGATCTGTCACTTGCACCTGCTCCCCAACCTGCTGCCCCGAGCCCCCTCCCACACCCAAACTCCCTCCCAGAGCCTGTGCCCTGCACCTCCTCCTGCACCCCAAACTCCCTCCTGTCATTAACAGGCATTTTTTACTTACTGGCACCCCCCATTCCCCCAACACACTGGATAAAACAGCTTTTACTATAGTTGGGTTGGGTCGGGTCATCCTCCTCCCTTGCATCCTTGCTGGAATTTAAAAAAACACACCACTGCCTCCTTTGAAGCCCTCTGTTACAACTGCCATCTTTTTATTAAAGGGAGGCATGGACAGGACTTCTTTCTTAGCCAGTCAGTGTTACTGCTTTTAGAAGTAAAACCATGGTTTTTCAACAACTTGAGATTTGCTGCATCTCTTCGCTCCAATGGCCCAAATTTAAGTTAACTATAAACTAGATTTTACATAAATCGTCTTCCCTGTGGTAGGAGGAAGTATTTTGGTCAGGCCAGTGTACTATAACTTTAACGTCCCTTCCTTAGAAGCAGTTCAGGGGACAGTGAAGCTACCTTAATTAACATATGTTTCTCCTTATATATAGTCATGAATACTGTGCTGTATGTTACACAAGTGTGTTTTGTTGCATTCTTGTCAAATGACTTTTGGCTCTCTGTCTAGCTTATCCATAATGGTACATGATAGGCTGGAGGGAAAGAATATATATTATTTTTCAAATATATGATGTAATTAGTCTGTATAATGCAAACTCACAAGAGGGTAAAGCTAAGGTTAAATGTTTGTTTAGAATTTCCTGACTCTTGAGTTTTTAATCATGCAGCCTTAATGTTCTGTTGAGGAATTCTGCAAGAAACTTAACTTTCTTTTTCTTCCAGGAAAAAAAAAAAAATGGGGATTCAGTGAGAAGAGGGAGCTTCAGTCTACATGGCTCTGCTGGGCTTCAAAAATAATTGCAAATACTATATACAGGTTCCTTAATCTGGAGCCATTGGTTTAGATACCTCTGATTTTCCTGTTTTACATGCATCTTAGTCTCTGCAAGTCTGCTGTTTAACTTCTAAGGTGCACTTAAGCAGGGCTACCTGAAGACTCTCACTAAGCCCATGGGGCCTGAGGGGGAATATGATCTTGCACACCTTAGGGAGGGTAGGAGGAGGAGGTTGAGGAAAGATTCTCCTTTGTACAAAAACTTAAACTAGAAGCTCTAGAGTAAATTATCAAATGTTAACGAGTTCATTGCTTGTTTTACATAATTGTGGTCTGAATTCTAAAGTTATGAAACTTGATATGGCTTGCTAACAATGCTCCATGGCAAAAAAAACAGTTCAAAATTAGTACCAGAAGTAGTTTTTTCAGTCTGTCCTTTAGCTTTTTGTAAAGCTTGGTTAAACATTGGCTTTCCTGTTTGTTTAGCTAATTAAAATGTTGTTTGTAGTCCCCTGTTATCGTTAGGTCTCAAGGACAACAGCAGCAGGAAAAGAAACAATTTGACCTCCTCAGTGACCTTGGCTCAGATATCTTTGCTGCTCCTGCTCCTCAGTCAACTGCTACAGCAAATTTTGCTAACTTTGCACATTTCAACAGTCATACAGGTAAGAGTTCTATGTAGACATTCCCTCCTAATTAAATGTATAGAAACCTGAGGAGTTTTCATTCTTTATGGCTTATAAATATGGATTATCTGCTGAATTAATAAAAGGAAAATTAATATTTCTGGCCTTGAACATTGTTATATCAGTTGTTAAGATTTAGCTTATGGCGAGTTGGAAGTCAAGTTTAGTAAAGCAAGTATTATTCTAAAGTTTTAAAACTTACACTGTGCATTTCCTTTGCAAAAACAGTATGGGAAACAGAAGAGAATAGCTATAAAATATAGTGTAGTAGTACTATTTGACATAAATCACATAAATATTGATCTGAAACTGACACAAATTATGTTTGGTCACTTTTTGTCACTCTGCTTTAATTATGTTTTCCTTGAGTTACTTGTTTATAAAGTAAAGCAAATATTTGGCTAGAAGGCAGGAAGCATCAGTGTTGGTGGCAAGAGAGGAGAAGGTGAGTAAAGTAGTGGGGATGGGCAGAGGTTATGCAAGATGTCATTTCTTCCCTCTGAAAAAGTTGTCAAGATACTTTATGGAGAGGGAGTGAAAAATAGTGAACAGACAACTGGTGTGGGCATTGGTGAGGGGGAAGAAGCAATGCTTCCTCACTGAGTATGACAGAACTGAAGGAAGAGAGAACAAACTTGTAGTGGAGGAAGTCCATGTGGCTGGGAATAGTGTGGGAGCAGGAGCAAAAGAAAACAATTTTTGAGCAAAAATCAGGGCTAGGTGTGGTAGGACAGACTTTTAAATATTTAGAATGGCTGTCAGTAAACATGCCTGAATATTACGGGGCGGGGGGGGGGGACGGGGGGACGGGACACCTCAATCCATATAACTTTATCCTAAAGAATAATGGCCACTAAGTTGATTCTGAAGAACACCAATAGTTATAAGTCAGCAGCTTATAGATATTGAGTAGTGTTTCCACTAACCTTCTGTGTGACCGTGAGCAAGTACCTACCCTTTGACCTTGTCTACTTTAGATTATGAACTCTTCAGACTAGGTAATGTTTACTAAAATATTTAGTACCTAAGGCAATGGAGCCCCTATCTTTGTTGCTGTCTCTGGGTTCTACTATAATATTGCTAATACTGAGGAGAAATGCTGCTCATGAAAAATCTGTGTTCATCTGTGTTCATCATAGTTGGCATTAAATTACAAAGTTGAAAAATCATGGGTGCACAGTTCTGGTGAGTTGAAGGTATTCATCACCAGTTTAAATTAAAAAATATTTATACGTGTTTTTAACTTTTTTCAGGCATTATATTTTACAGATAATGTGAGTGACCAATTGAATTCAGTAGAATTAAACATGAATAGTTCTAGCATTTTTATAAAGTATGCATAAAACACAGGCTTTCGTGTAAATCAGTTTCTTGGAATGTATTTAAATTGGAATTATGTCTACACTATAGGATTAATCCGAATTTTGGAG